CTGATGATTGGCCACCTTAATGCTACCTGGGTGGGGGGTAGGAGGCTAGATATAAAAACATACACAGATACACACACACACCCATACACACATACGCGATACACAGACAAACACATACAACAGTATACCATACACACACAAACTACCAACACAAACACACATACTCATTCGATATACACAAACACACATACTCACTCGATATACACAAACACACTTACACAATACCACATACAGACCCCCATACACTCCCCTAACCCCGGGTCACGTTACCGCTCCTCCACCTCTGTTCACCGTCACACACACACACACTAATATCCTTTACGTGTGTCTGTTATGTGTCATCTCGTACGGGGTGACACTAGAGCCCACCAATAATACCTCAAATCAAATTACTGAACCTAACCTAACCAAATCCGCCCCAGGTTCTGAAGAGCAAGGAGCGCCTGGGAACACTAGTGGTGGTTAGGAACACAAAAGCTCCCCTGTGTCTTACCTCCCCCCCCCCACTTCTTCCTACATTCCCTCAGCCCCTCCTTCTACCCTCAATCAGTTCCTCTTTCCCTCACTTATTCCCTTCCTTCACTCACTCTCTTGATCCTTTACTGGGTTCCTCCTTCCCTCCCTCAGTTCTTCCTTCCTTCACCCTTCCTCCTCCACCCCCACCCTTCCTCCTCCACCCACTATCAAGTCACAGTCAATATAACACAACACCTCAACTCATTCACTAACTCACCTACACACTTCACTCTAATGTAAGTCTGGTTCATTCACAGAGAGAGAGAGAGAGAGAGAGACTGTGTGTTTGTATGTGTAGAGAGAGAGAATGTGTTATGTATGTGTGTAAAGAGACAGATAGTGTGTGTGTGTGTGTAGTAACCCCCATAATCATACCTCCCAGCTGGAGTACTGTATTGAAACATCCACACAATCCAATATGCAAAAACTCATCAAATAATTACAAAAATACATACACGTCATCCCGTTCTTTTGTACAGTAAGGCTTTTTCCATAATAACTGAGTCAATTATTACAAACACACCTTTCTCCTCAACTTGCCATATCAACACTAACCACATCTTGATCGAGTACCTATTACTGCCATACTGACGAAGGTTTGAACACAGAGGCTACACGCAGAAGGAGAGAGAAGACCCTGAGCTCTAAGTGGGGTAGATACAGGTACTTGTCGCGACAGGTGTACGCGAACTACCTGTACACACCTGGGGCCACACACACATTTGTAACACCTGCTACAGATATATGTATAAAGAGGCCAGGATGGGAGGGTGTTATGCACTGCCCCACACACACACTACACCCTCACACACACACACTACACCCTCACACACACACACACTACACCCTCACACACACACACACTACACCCTCACACACACACACTACACACAATGACACACATAACCCACCTGTACAGACTAATCACCACTATACAGGTTACTCACAACACCTGCTCACTGACACACATTGTTTCTATACACACTACCTGCATATATTATGACTCCTTTGGGGAATCAAATACACAAATAGACATACACTCAGTCAAATCTCCATACAAGTTCACATTAGTTCAACATATACACAGACAGTTCCAATGATACAATAACAAAAATAAATAAAAAATCGATCCAGCCAAAATGTAACTAAACGCCGCCTCGTAGTTATGATTGCCACGGTGTTCTTGTAGCATAAACCGAACTCAATAAACTTACCTTATCTACAGTATTTTAAGGCAGCAGACACGCGAACGACCACAAATACCAGGGTTCGATCTGGGGACGTGAGTTGTGGTGTGAGGATAATAAAACTGCTTCCGTGTGGCGCCCGAGAGAGAGAGAGAGAGAGAGAGTACAAAATAGTACTTCTCTGGAGTGAGAGGCCAGAGAAATGTGAGGTAGGAAGGGGGAGGGGGAGCAATACCGGTGGTTAAGCTTAAGGTGAAATAAGCTGAGGGCTAATCATCAGGTGATCCGTGTAAGCTGGTGCGTCTTTATCCTTGAGACCAATTTGACCAATAAAGGTTGTGAGTTGGTCTGAGGCGGCCAGCAGTTTGTGGTGGTCATCATATTCATCCTGCCATGCGGTGGTTGAGTGGATACAGTGCTTACATCCTGTCTTAAGGGTCGCTAGTTCGCGCCCTAATTACCCCCCAGTCCACCCAGCTGTAAAGAGGTACCCAAGAATACAGCTGGGGAAGTGAAGGAAGACTAATACGTCTCCAGGTACACTTAGGAACAATGAATTTAAGAGAAGTAAATATACCAAACACTGGTAAAACAGAGTATATATCTTGAGGCTATAGGTGGGCAGACCGCCAAGCATTAAGAGGTTGAATTCCAATATGGCAACAACAATAATATAAGAATAATAAACCCTTTGATTACATTAGCAGATAATATATTCAATTACTACTACTACCAATAACAAAATGACCTAAAAATAGTCAACTACTTCCATTACACGAGTTTTATCCTGCTGACTAAAATGTTTACCAAGTATTTCACCGCCAGAGATCAACAAGAACAGGAAATCGATAACCAGAGAAGCGCTAAGGTTCAAATCCCAATGACGATGAAGGAAGGAAAACGACCATCACGCACGACTAGGAATCATATGAAGTATAGCATTATATTGCACTTTTTCAAGCTGTAAATCAATGCACGGGGGACTGAAGGGTGTTTACAAAGAAAGTGCCAAGGTTCAAGCGTCAGTAGATCATCAGTCCAGAAAGTAGTCTCTCCAGGAAAGTGTCAGAATAGCGACAGTACGCGTCAATATCCCAGACAGTGTCGATTCAAAGAACAATTCTGACTATAGCTAAAGAAAGTAGTAGTTATTGTTCAAGAAAGTGCCGAGATATTAAAGAAAGTGCTCCGGTAAACTCGCCACTTCCCTCCGGCAGTGATTTAAGTGTTCGCAATACAAAGAGGGTGAGAAATACATGTCCCACCAAGAGAGAGAGAGAGAGAGAGAGAGAGAGAGAGAGAGAGAGAGAGAGAGAGTTCCCAGTACGTATTCCAATAACTGCACCAATACAATGCCTATTAGTCCAACAAACATTTTAATGCTAGTGTGTTTCTTTCAATCAATTACTAAACATGATGCAATGGAAATTCCCGGTAAATATTTTTCACCTGAACTGCAGCCCCAGTCAATGATGAGCTAGGCTATCCTGAGTACCAGAGGCGCATATACACACGGACTCAGCGCAGATTAGGTTGTCAGAAAGTTATCCATTATTACTGATTAGTCCCCCAGTCTCGGCAAAAGAGAAAGGGTCCCACTGGAAATAAATATATGATGACTGTGTTCAAGTTTGTTGGCCATCGATGGTTGAATAGACTAACTGTACTGTCTAGAATCTAGATACATTGTTTGTGTAGCTGCACTGTCTAGGTAGATTGTTTGTGTAGCTGCACTGTCTCGGTAGATTGTTTGTGTAGCTGCACTGTTTAGGTACATTGTTTGTGTAGCTGCACTGTCTCGGTAGATTGTTTGTGTAGCTGCACTGTTTAGGTACATTGTTTGTATACCATTTCATATATCTATCTATCTTTGCCACGACTACCATACATTCAACATTCCACTGAATTCATTCACACGGAGAAATATTTATACATCCAATCAGTCATTCCACATCTCTGAGGTTAAAATTATCCACATTGCACCAGCAAGTAGGCCTAAGCGGATAGAAGCCTATTAATATAGCTTAGCCATATAAATAAACCTTCAGTACCGCGAGAAGTTTCAGAGCATGACTGTAACATCTCCCATTACTAAGTTAGGTCAGGGAATTCTTCTACAAATTACTTCAAGCTACTTAGTGAGGAACTGCTACAATATTTAGCTCTTTTTTTTATAACCGTGAGAAATAATGCTGGATAGTCACGTATACATTGTGTTGTTGTTGCGAGAAGAAAGATTTGAGTGATATTGAACACGTCACTTGCAAGACCATATCGACAAAGGCTCCGTGATGGACACACAAAGAAGTAGGAATGTCAAAGTAATAAATATTTACTGTTCTAACATTATTCAGCTCAGGGTAAGAAAGTTTTAGCGTGTTTTGTTAGGTTAGGCTTTGTTAGCTTAGACTTAGACTGATAAATATTTACCTAAATAGCTACAGTATCTATCTATATGTTTTTTTACGTTATAATTTTACACGAATTCCTTATTGAGTTGCCGACTAGGAAGCCACAATCTTGTTTTTATGCAAGGTTAAATCAATCACACAACGTCTAGTCTAGTACTTCCGTCAGAACTTAAATACAGTAACGAAGAGAAGTTGTTTTAAGTGTATAACAATTTGTACCTCATGAACGCAACTTAAGTGGGCTGTTAGATCGTTCATATTACACCGGGGTAATTTTCTATGCGTGGTTTTGACATAAGAAAATACCTGTACAGTAGTTTGATCTGGTGATATCTGACCCATCCATCAAAGTATTATAGTCATTTTACAATATATTTATGTATTTTTACTTCAATATAAACTATCCGGCGGTAACTGTAGTCAAACAACCGAAAAGCCTATCCTGACCTAAACCCAAATCACCCCATTACCCATATCAAATACCTCAACCAGTTAACCCAAATTACCTAATCCAAATATAGTAACCAAACTTAAACCACGTGTTAACTAAATCCAACCTTAATATCCACATAGTGACCTAATCAAGTGCTACATGACCTATAAACCAAACGAAAACCTAACCTAACCCAATTGGTGGAGGAACAACCATTACGCTCCACCTTTACATAAATCATCAGTTGGGAGGATAGTGCAGGTATGCTCACTGTCGTCTACCTGTTAGAATACATTTCGTCGATAATTATTACTTACCTGGTAACTCAACACCGACCATGGCGGCACACGGGGCCACGCGTGGCTGGAATGTCTGGCCTAATAATACTTAAATAAACATCCGTCATCACTTATAATACTGATGCTAAGTAGATGGAAGGAAGCTATTACTTACATTCTGGGAGGAGCCGAAGTGCTCCCCGGCCAGCTGCAGTAGATGAGCGATACTTATAGTTCCTCGATTCTCTACGTCACACACCTCAAACACTTGTCGGAGTTGGTTTACAAACTCCTCCGACACCGCCATTTTTCATCACTTTACGTGGCCTCTCATGACACTTGGGTATTTCCCAATCACTTATAAACACGGGATAGCGGACACGCCACCACGGGAGCGGCACACAACCTCCCTCACTCACAGTCACAGTAAGACTGAGATAGTTCACTGTGTTGGCTCACAGTCCGCCACCGCGCCAATCTTTTCCCTCCAATTTTAATTTAATGTCTATATGATTATAAATTACAATCCAAGATTTTATATAACTGGAAGTTTAATTACTGTACAGTGAAGGATATTAACTATACCATACGTCACAGTCACAATGCCGTGTGACTCATCTAATCTCTTGGAATAATCTGAAACGTTTTATTTCTTCACATGTTTATCAGTCCGGCATCAAAGTTGACATTTAAAGATTGTGTGGAAACTCTTCAGAGGGGGATGACGCCCCTGAAGTCTTCATACTGTATCTCCATCTTAAATTTAATCCCATTGAGGGCGATGATATAACCTCTTGAGAATAATATTGTTTAACGCCGTGACTGAGAGCAATGGTTTACCTCTGAGAGTAATGGTTTACTTTACTTTATCCTCTTCGCCACTGATCGGCTCGTTAGCCGCTTGGGCTGTCTGTCACGTCTCTGATACACACTGTTGGCAGATACTGGGCATGCACTGGCTCCTGAATATATTGGAGCCTGCACCATTGTTGGTCAAGTCTGGTCTTGATTGAGCTCACACTTGGTGCCGTCACAACGCTCTCCGGCAGATTGTTCCAAGAGCACTGATAACGATGCTTTATCTTTAGAAAAGATGGTTTAACACTTTGTGGGTGTTTATCAGTGTGTGTGTTTGTCTATTCAGGCCCTACTTCTATGTACTTTTTTTATGTATGAACAGACGTTAGTATGTGTATGTGAAGTGCATAAGCTGACAGATAGGGTAGACTCTAGTACTGTACTTCCCAATTATAAATAAAAATTTATCATATTTCTCCCCATATTTTTAATCTTCAGAATATAAAATAATAATGTTTATACCAAGACAACATGGCTTAACCTGATCTTGTTGATTATATAAGATGCAGATTACAGTACTTATACAGGTACTGGGTGATCAAAAAGTATGTGCACCTGCAATAAATAAAAATACTGCTCTATTGATTTATACCTTACTGTACATATAGTAAATATTGCCAATGGTCACAGTAAATGTTGCAAGTTGAAACCATTCCCAATATTTACTTTAAGTAGAACAAGATATATAACAATGTAGGTAACAAACGGAACAACTATATTAATTATTACAGGTATACAGAGACTTTTCTAACACCCTGTAGTTTTCCTGACAACACCCTGAGTTATCTCCACCCCAGACAAGGATCACAGGATATTATTAAACACCTAAAAAAACACAAACATCAAAGTCTTGATTTATTGATGGTCAAATATTAACAATGAACAATTTTGCAAAACCAATTCAAGTAAGCAATATTAGCAGATGTCTCTCGGCACAAAACCAAGTGAAGAATAATTTAACAAAAACTCTAATGTAGATAAATAGCAAAGACGTAATGAGGCGGCAACTCCTAGAGGCAAAATATATCGTTGGCAAAAATTTACATACATAATACACAAGCATCCTGCACTAACCTTCATCACAACTAGCAAAAAGCTCTACAAGAAATGAAATCCAATCCTAAACATCCCCCAGTCATTAAAACAAAGAATTCATTATCATATATACAACAATTACTACACAAAATGTTAAAATACCTACGTGAATCATACATAAATTCGTTGCTAATACACGTGGACAGCATTTCAATGTCCTTTAAAAAAATGAAAATGAAATTCATCTCGGATGGAAAATTGTCAGAAGCATGAACAGGGGATTAACGGGAGCTCTAATGGTGCCACCTATATGTTCCATAACAAAACCCACAATAGAGATCATATTGGTGGTACAACTGATCGACCCTGTGGCTATGCTCTCCAATTTCTACTCAGGTCTCATATCAAGAGCTCATAAATATATAAATAAAGGCATATATATATATATATATATATATATATATATATATATATATATATATATATATATATATATATATATATATATACAGTATATATATATATATATATATATATATAAATATATAAATATAATAACCAAAGACAATATACAGTGAAAAATTATGTATATTAACCTTTGGGTGAAGTTGGTGAATTTTTCATTTTCATTTGAAGGGAAGCTGTCCATGCTATTCATTATGTAAACCTGAAACATTTCTTGAACATAGTAAATATTTCCTCAAAGTTCAAGGTAATACAGAGGAAAATAATATAAAACACCTTACTGTCCAGCACATGAACAAACACATCATCAAGATGTAATTAATCATAAAATGTATCTTATGAATTTTCTTTAACATCTCAAATAAGAAATGATCCATTACACTAACTGGAATGTAACACAGTTTCTGTCTATGCTAAGAAATGCTAACACTGCACGTTTCTTTGTATAGAAATTAAGATACTCATTAACAACTTGCTAATATCAGGTGAGAACAATGACCCGCATATCAAATATTTCACCAAGTTTTTCTCAAATGGCATAATAACCGGCCGGTAATTCAAAAGGTCAACTCAACTGCAAAAACTTACCCAACAGTACACATGCCAAGAGACAGGAAAAATATAGTTTGATAAATATATAATCTGTATTCAAGTTTCTTATAAAAAGTAGTCATTTTAATTATCACTATAAAATGAGCCAATATTGAGTCATAAACCCACAGCTGAGTTGACCCAGTACAGTACATGACCTGAACAACTTGCAGCCCCAGGAAGCTTCCTTTATCAACCTAGGACAAATAAAAATTCAATCATGATAAAATCTAATGGTACAATACCTCAAATGTCTGGTGTCTCTTGAAAGTATAAGTGCCGTGGAAAGATTAGTCCGTCAGATGAAGAAAATTATAGGCAAAGTAAAATACCACGATTAATGATGTTTCATGGAGGAGGAGGAGATGAGAGAATGGACGTATGAAGTTACTAAAGTGTTACAGTTCAAGTCATCACGAGCTACGAGCAACATGTTGACAAAGTATCAGATGAGTCGAGATTATTTTTCATTATCACACGAAAGAAATCAAGATGCCGATTCTTTTGGATTTAAAACTGTGACTTCTTTAAGATAGTCCAGGAAGTGGTGGACACAATATGAGGCTTCAGTATGACAGGGAAGGTGAGACAGTGAGGGTCATGCAGCAGTGACTTCTTATCCTGGTTGTCTGGATGTTGTTAATTTTGTCAGCTGGCAAAAGTTGTCAATAATCTGTTGTAGAAGCTTAGTGCGTCCTCAACTGGTAGTCACCGTTCTGGGTGATGTATCGTACCCAGGGAAGTGCTTGATACCCAGACTTTTCAATAATCTTCAGATATCTCACCTACAAGAGAAAAAGCCTTACTCACATATAGATAAATTCAGTACTAAAGGTTTCATTTATACAAGTCACACAAAGCATTCAAAGATGTGTTATAAATATTGGAAAGCTGATAGCTCTTAAATCCATTTATATCCTAATTGTGGTCTTTAACATTAGTCAGAAAGGCAGCTTACATACAACCTCCTTTAAATACCACATCAATTAACGTTTCCACATCCATCCACAGAAACACTCACATACTGGTAAAAACTCCATTATTCTCGTTCCATGTCCCTGTAAGTCTTCCTCTGTGCATGTCCTTCATCTTACTGTTTATACATTAACTCATGTCACCTCAATGCTCTTGTCTTCCATTTCAACCCCTATTACAACACAGTACTTTTACTACACAGTACTTTATACCTCTATCCTATTTCCTTATCCCACGCTCTCCTAACTCTTATATACACCTCTTAAAAAATTATCATTATTATTATTATTAAGCTATCCACTGCACTCTCACAACCATAAACAAGACTCTTATATAAAACTCAATACCATCCACAATATCCTTCTTGAACATACAAGACTACTAAAATATCAAAACTCTTGTAAGCTCTAAATCTTTACATTCAATTGCTATTTTCTCTTTAGCCATGAATTCTATCATTACTCAATTATATTTTACTGTAAATGATAACAGTCATTCACTAAGTTCCTCTTTGATAGAGATTCATCACAAGAGACATCAGAGCCCACCACAAATGACATGAACAACCTATTATCCTTTATTCACATTAAAAGAAAAAACATTAGGCTTACCTGGATTCCTGAAGTAGTGAAATATGGTATTTCAAAGCGGACCTGTATGGGTGGCTTACCCTCCACGTCCTCTCCTTCTACGCTGGGTAACCCAAAGTGAGCCCGCATCAGGTACTCCTTGCCACCCTACCCACACACAATCACAAGTGCAAACAAACAATGAATCATAAAGTCAATTAGGATTCGTTAAAAATATACAGATGGGGGGGGGGGGCTGCTACATTTGTGTGATATCTAAAGCAAAATGCATAATTCTTTAGTACTGAAGTTGTGTGTACAGTGATCCCTCGGTTAACGAATTTGCTTCCATAAGATTCTTCACTTCGGTTAACGAATTCCTTATGAATTTTTCCCAACATGTTTTCGCCTGCATTTGGCTGCCCACCAGCTGTAGTATTAGTCCGCCAATACAGTAATCGGTTTTAGGGCTTAAATTCTTTACCATTTTAGTAAATATCAAGAAGGTTGTACTATTCAATAATTTTAAAAGTTTTATATTAATTTTTTTAGTCATTTTAACAATTATTGAACATAATTGAAGTACAGGAAGCTAGTTTTTTGTGCGCCAAACAGCCACTCAACACACCAAGCTTGGCGTCAGTTTGTTCACCAGTTCAGAGGAAGGAACATCTTGTTTGAGACTCTTCAACATAAACACTTTTTTCTGTGTTTCCAGTCAAATTATTGGTCATTTTGAAATATATTTTACATATTGACAATATATAATGCAGTGCAGTGTTGATTTAAAGAAAATAACCTTGAATTACACCAAGTGAACTAAAATTTTAAGGGTGAAATGGCGGCATGGGGTGACTTCTCTTCCACCCCAATGCCTTCTCTTGTCCCTTCTCCACCCCCATTCTAATTCCCATCATCATCATCATCAACCAGGAGCCTTCTACATGCACACCTCAAAGTAAGTGTACTTTACTGCATTTATTTTTAGTTTGTATGTAATTTTCGGTGAGCTGGAACCAATTACCCAAAAACCCATTGAAACAATGGTTTTGGTTAAAAAAATTTCGGTTAACGAGCAACCTTCTGGAACGAATTGTGCTCGTTAACCGAGGGACCACTGTAACATAAAAGGATTTTCAACAGACACACAGGATGGCTCTGTTTATTCCTGGAACAAAATCTATAACCATGTGATATAAAAATTATCAACCCAAACTTATTTAACCTGTGACCACAAGTCTTCATTATATCCAGCTGAGTCACTACAGTTTCTCTTTATGTTTAAGGTCATATACTAGAAAAGCCGAGCCTCTTAAAATACTCACGGGGAAAGACTTAATTGTCCACACCACACAGTTCTTCTCGGGGGTGTACTTGACAGACCCGATAGATGTCTTGAATTTGGGAGAGTCTGCGTCATTGGGCACCGGAATAATGATCTCTACGTTGTTGGCTGTTGACCGTCTCTTGAACTGGGACTTGGCTTTGACCATATACTCCACTCTGCTGTGGGCGTGGCGCTCTATCACAGACTCAATCCAGATTAGTGGTTTCACCTAGAAATACAACAAAGGTATGATATTGTGTATGAAATTTTCTCTGGCAATGAAGTATAATCATTCAGCCTTTATACTGAGGCAAAACACCCGGGAATAAAAATAATAAAAAGGACCACATGAAGACTAGCTCCCAGTATATTTAACCTGATGATAAAACACCTAAATGATACCCTGGGGGATCAGATTAGACTCAATTAGATTAGCTTGAGCTGGGTTATGTTAGATTAGGTTAAGTTAGACAAGCATATTTAACCATCAAGTGAAATAAACTAGGGTGCCTAATCTTCTGGTGATCCAATATACATCCCAGTGACTTTTTCCTGAGGGTCCTGAAGTGACATAAGAGACATACCATGCATAAAGAACAAGGCGTCACTGTCCTGTACTCACGTGTGTGTTGAGACGGTAGGACATGAGCTCAAACTCGCCATCGGGGGGAATAAAGGAGATGGTTCGGTCATTCTCAAACCTACAATAAAAAATCAGCAAACAGTTACTCAAGTCCCCATCATCTAACACATCAAACACTTCATAGGTTTTTAAGGTTGACTACAATATTTGAATTACATTATTACTGTATTGTTCCATAAAGTAAACTTAAACAATTACCTTGAGAGTCTGACACACTGGTGGAACTTGACATCCTCCAATTCTACGCTCTTGCTCTTGCCTCGGCCAGTCGACTCAAACAACACTTTATCGTTCAACCCTAACCTCAGCTCTGGCATCCCCGAGAGATACACACGCATCTTGATACTCCCTACAATTTCACTACGAAGAACATTACCATTTGAATTTGCCTGTGGGAAAGAATGGATGAATCAGTACCTCATCATATGCAGTATAGGTACACACGTTCAAAAATGTATCTCTACAATGTGTTAGACAATATAACAGAATGGATGAAGGATTTTGACAACCCTACCGAGACAACAGGACTCACAGTGTTCATTTTGAAATTCATCAAACCCCTCTACAAAGATACTTTTGGGGTGTGTTTGCAGTAAAATCCTAAAACATCATAAATTTATCTAGCAAGAACGTTCTCTGAAACCAGACACACAAATTTCTTACTAAAAGGTTAACACCCTCAATAACGTCCAGAAAGACTTCATTCTTGCGGTACTTGATGCCCTCTGAGCGCCACGACACAGCATTGGTCACAGCGATGGGGGGTCGAGGAGCAATTTCTAGTTTGTGGCCCTCTTGAGTGATGTATCTGGGGAAAAATATTTGGGACTGTTCAATTATGCATGCGTGCACACACACACACACACACACAGACAGACACACACACACACACACACACACACACATGAACTCTATGCTTCACAACTTCTGATTGGCTACTCACTCCTGAAGGATCTTTCCATCGGTGGTTTGTGGGTAACCAAAATCCAACAGCTCATCCAGCAACTCATATATAATAACAAAGTTGTCCCTGATGCTCTCCTCCTCCAGCTCCTGTTTATAAAAATATGTATTAATAAAAGGTTTCCAACAATTTTCTGACTCATTTTAAAACTTAACCTCAAAAACAAGAGATAGAACACAAAGCACACTTATAGGAAGACAATTAATGATGCTAATTGTAACACAGTGAACACGTATATGCTTCAAACAATATTTACCACAGTGAAGAAGAAAACAGTTTCCAGGACAAATTCAAAAAGACACAAATCTCAAAGTCAATTTCAAATGCAAAATTCTCCTTCATAATAAGACAAACTTGAAACATGATTTTACTTCTGAAAAGACATAAAGGTTAACACCCACCTTGAAGTATTCTTGGGCAACTGTTACAAGTTTGTGTAAGAAAGCGAACACCAACGTCACATTTGCATTTATCCGAGTGGCCGAGACAACATACAGGTTGCTTACTTTAACAAAGCAAAAGGTTGCCTCCTGGGTCTGAAACATTACAGCAGAATAAAATTATAATTACAGGTCAGTCCTCATCTTATCTTTCTCACTCTTATTACAGAACAGCCTTAACACATACATAACCTTCTGCACTGTAAAACTGATGTCAGCATCCTAATCTGAACATATTATACTGTACAGCTATAAAGCTATTTCTGATAAAGGGCTCCATTTTGCCCTGCTTGTCTTACTGTAACTGGTCAATGAGTATGGTATTATTAACAACTTGTTCAGTATTTTGATGTGAACAGTAGATTTGGTATCAAGGAGGATGATATTTAGTACATTTTGGACAAATTCTGAATGCTTGAGTTGTAAGAGGCAGGACAAGGATAAAGGTATTAGCCAGACATGTTACTGTACCTGTATGATGGGAGCCATGTTGCCATCATCTTCCCTCTCCAGCACCATTGGCATAAACTTCTCGATGACTCCCATGTCGACATCCCCTCTGTAGTTCCGGGATATCAACACCTTAAAGATGATCATCAATAAATATAGCAGCTGTTAAAGTTTCCTCTTAATAAGATAACAAAACAAGGAAAAATAAAATAACTTTAATAAGTCACACTATAAAGTGAATTTTCATCTTGAGAGTGCAGTAACACAAGGTTCTGGAGCAAAAGTGATCATGGAGACACTGCTGAGAACTTGGGATATATTTGGTATGTGATCAGTTTATAAATAATAGAATAAACTAAAAGATCAAAAGTAAAAGTTAATAAGAATAATGGACAGTGAAGGGGAGTCTCACAGGCCTGATGGTCTTATGGGGTAATAAAAATACTATATGACTCTTTTATGGGGTAAATAAGGAGACAGTGTGACCAGCATTGCACTCATTTGCACGTTTCTATGTGTACACCCGTGCGAAAGGATGAATGCCAACAATGTTTCAATATTTTCATCAATAAGCTCAAGGTAGAACCCAGAGCCTCAGTTAGTTACCGAGGTGTTTATCACTAAAACTTGCGTTAGATAATGAGCACTGCATCTGGCCTGTTTGGTATCCCACAAAACACAATTATTACACACACACACATACGACCTTGCAATTTTATTCCCGCTTCCATTTTTCAATTATCTAATAACCTTAACCTTGACACAGCCTTACCTTGCCCTTAACATCAAGGATGTATATGGCTGATATAGACATCTTGCTGAAGATGATTCCTGTGCGACTTGAAGTACCTGCTACAGCATATCACACGCCTCTCCTGTAAAATACTGTATTTAAATAATAAGAAACACAGGTAGAGCACATATGAACAAATTATCTGTTTATATACAAGCAGTTTAGTGTTGACTGTCTCCCCCACCCCATATGGTTTACAGGTGTTGTGTTGGGCGGTACATACTGAACATATTTAATACCAACAACTTGAACTTGAGCTTCACCTAATCATTATCATATGATATAGGTTAGTAAGGTTAATTTAGTTGATTTTATGAATGATATATTATATAATCTAGCAGTATCTGGTAATTTGGAAAGTTCCCAACTCTCCCAAAATGTCAACAACAGTGCTCGTGATTTTATTCCTATTATATACAAGATTACTCAAAGTTTTAACCATCACTGCCTTGTTCAATCACACAGACATAACAGACTTAAGTAATGACCCTCGACGAAAATATTTAAGCACCGGTAATGTAAAATAATGTTGCCACCCATCTACACTTACGTTTTGATTACTAACTTCCTCTCCAACAATACATTCTCCTCTACCACATTTATAACTCCTCAACACTAAGGATATGAACATGTACCAACACCCACGACCATAAAGAAACAACACAACCTTCAATAAAACAAATAAACTTATGATCAGTCAGGGACCATCAGCCCCCAAATTTGTCATTAATCACAAACACCGACTATAACACTCATAGAACAATTCTCTACACCACTACAGCGTCGGCTCCATCTATCATCACCTGTGGAGTAATGATAATAAGTACTGTAGGTATGGTGGAGGATAATCTTACCTGTCTGTCTACTAAACTCTGAAGGTTTTCCTGGGGTGATGTTTACCAATGGTTGAGGCGAGAGTCGTCGATAACTCACAATACCATCCGCGATTATATATTTAAACTTTTCATAAATAATCTTCACAATAATTAATTTTATTTCATTTTAAAATATAAGCATAATTAAATGTTTATAAATAAAATAAATAAGATATTTTTATCCTTAATTAACGTATAAATTAGCCTCAGAGAATATTTGAATCGCTATTATCTGCAGAGATAGACTCGACTGGTTTTGCCTGGTCAGCTGCCGTGGAGAAGTATAAACGCCAGACTCCGGCCCGACCATGATCCACACTCCCCTCCCCTTATCGGTATACAGTCATCTCTTATCAGTTTTTGTCAATTTTTCGCCTCAGATGAGTCTAAAATACCTTGAAATTCATTTAAAATTATCGATATCAGTTAAACAATACCATAATGTTAACTCTGTAATAGAATGTATAATTTATATAATCTAATAGTATAATGGGCTTAATATATACACTTGGATCACAATACATAGATGTTCAAGGAAGATATTGTATTTCTTTAGGTTACATATACAAGGCAGGGACGTACACATACACACTCGTGAACATTTTGAGATAATAAAAATAATCATATACTCCTGGTCAACACTGTAAGTCTCTTGTTTAATTGCAGTGTGTAGTTAAATACCATCATTAGGGAGTGTAGTGGTCGGGCTGCTGGGTCTAGGGGCCATAAAATTAGTTTCAATCTGTTATCAATGACAACCTGGAGTAATTAATTCCCAAATATTTAATAACTTACCTGACAAATCATGGGAATGGTGTTATATTAAAACCCAAAAAGGTATTATTTCATTATTATCCCATTTGTAGTTTATTTAGAATCATGTGTTGTCAGGAAGTATATTGTATTGGTAGTTAACATTTGAGATTTGTTAACAGGAATAGGACGAGGATGATGACCTCTTGAGAAACCCCAAGGCTGACCTAACAGGAAGGTTTCAGATTGAACAATAATTAAGAATAGCCAAAAGTCTCATGAAAAATGATTTTATTCCGATGCATAATAAAGATGCTGTGTGCGGTAGGCCTGTCTTACTGTAGATCACAGGTTCATGATTGTAGGTTTTCTTTGTGGTTTAGGCTGAAATAAAAATCGATGAATGTTTATTATTTTCTTATTATTTTTTTTACAGATTTCAAGGAAGATGTGATCATTCAAATATTCATCCAGAATTGGAGAAGATTGAGAGTAGCCATTGTCAGGAGGGCATCAGTGTGTGCCAACCCCACAAGTGTACAAGATGACACAGCAGATCCACAGCTACTCGGGTCAGAGTTATGACCGCTGGGTGGAGCGTAACTCTAGCAGCTCTACCCTGGGGAAGGTCCAGAAACAATTTTGGTTTACCAAGAGCGCCGTCATCCGCAAGTTTGGCAAGAAGGAAGATGAGCACGTGGTCGCTTCTGACGCTGAACTTGATGCTAAGATAGATCTCTTCAAGGCTATAGAATATAGTACCAAAGACCTGCAGGTATTGTATTATTTTGTTCATGTACAGTATTTGAGAATCTGAATATCCTACCTGGGAGGAGGGGTAGTTTAGCATTAGGGTGGTTAATGTTATGGTGAAATTAAATGGGTGGCCTAATCTTCAGGCGATCCAAGACTTCCCCATCACTCATATGAAATATAATCCAGGATTAGACTTTACCAGCCTCAGCACTAGGCCAAACGTTGAGGATTTTTTGTTATACTGTACCTGGCCTGTACATCCATATATAAAGTTTGCACCATTTTCACTGTAGTAAAGGTATAATTATCCCCATGTTATACAGTATACAGTAGGTGATGCTGAATCTACTTAGTACAATAACAGACGAACTGAACCCAGATACTGATAAATGGTTTTCCCAATAAAGATATAATATTTAATTTTAACTCACTCAAAAGCAAGTCTCGTTTCAGCCAAATCTAAAAATCACTAAATAACAGATAAATTCCTTAGTTGGAGATATTTCCCTAACAAGCATTATAAGTGAAACCTTTATTTAATGAACCATGTAAGATGAAAGTCCGTTATATTGAGGGTCCATTAGATATGAAACCTCCATCCAACAGATTATATGGAGAGAGGAGTCCGTTTTATGAAGGTTTCACTGTGCAGGTTTACACGTAGAAAATGGTAATTCTATAATGTATCTATTGAAAACATTTGTAGTTTAAATACTTCTCAGTGTATATCATTGTATACTACACTGTATTGACTTTAATAGAAATATTTGTTCTTGACAGGTATTGCTTGCAGACTACCAGAACAAGATATGTGTTATGGCCCAAGAAGAAAATGCTATGGGTCGTCTGCTGAAGGAGTATGGGAAGCAGGATAGGAGTCGAGCTGGAAAGATGATGACCGCTGTAGGTAAAAGCTTGAGTTATACAGCCCAACAGCGAGTGGCACTCAGAAATCCTTTGGTTCGACTCTTTCAAGAGGTCGATACTTTTCATACCCGAGCAGTGGAAGACACCTCCTGCACTGTCACAGAGATGGAAAAGATAAGAACTGAATACCGTGGTGCACTTATGTGGATGAAGAACATCTCCCAGGATTTTAACCCAGATCAGTATCACCAATTAGAAAAGTTTAGAGAAGTCCAAGGAACAGTGAAGCAAAAGAAAGCCAAGTTTGATCGCATCAAGCTGAAGAGTTTGCAGAAGATTGATCTCCTCGCGGCCTCTAGGTGTAACATGTTCTCTCATGCTCTAATTGTCTACCAAAATAACCTCATAACATTCTCAGACAAGACATCCAAAACCCTGATCAGTGTGGCTAATAACTTCAGAGGATATCAACCTTATGATTTTCAGGTGATCAAGGAGCTTGCTGAACCTCCCAGGAAACTCAGTGACGACGCTAAAGAAGAGGACGAGGAGAACCTGGATGAAGATGAGGAGACATTCTTCAACGCCGAGTATCACGATGATCCCGAGAAGAAAAACAGAAGAAATCAGGACAGACAGTCGAGTAAGAAAACCAAAAAGGAAAATTCTGATCAAAAGAAATCAGACAGTCTGATGAATCTACTTGACTGCACTGAGGACAATAAGAGTGATACATTGATCTCATTAAACCAAACAGAGGGAAGTTCAGTCTCACAGTCAGATAACAATGAGAATAGTTCCCAGATAATGGACTTCCTGACAAATAACCCAGAAGTGCCTGATATAGAAACTGATACACAACAAATGCTAAAAGAATTATTTGATAGCCCCAGCCACCAGCCACTCCCTGTGTTTGGCAGTGAAGTTGGTGCTTGTAGGACACCACTCAATGCTGCAGCCCAGAACTCTTCCACTGGTGCTTTGGGTCTTGAAGATTTAGACAATGATCCATTTTCTATGTTACAGAATCAGTCACACCAACAGCCACAGAACATGTTCCTCCCATCCCAGTTATTAGACTTTGGAATGCAAGGATGGCAAGCTCAGATGGTTCAGCAGGCCACGGGAACACCACTCTCACCTCAGTCCTTCCCTTCACCAGCTAACAAAACCTCGCCAGCCAGTTCTTTGGTGCAACCAAAGCGTTCCCCAACCAGTGCAAGTACCATGTCCAACCAAAACTTAAAACAAGAAGTTCAAAAGTTGGATTGGTATAAAGTGTTTCAGGACATTGACCCACTAGGTGACCCAGGGAGTGCCATCTTCAGCCAAGTAACAGATGAAGATAAAAAGTGTTAAATGACTTGGTTCCCAGAGAAGCAGTATAGTTAGACATGATTACATGGGGCCTAGAATCTTTTATTTTTTACTGACATGATCTTGGCTTTTACCATAGTCAAGTCTTCCTAGACCTAAATGCCTTCTTATATAAGTCATACCACATTTTCTTCATAAATGAGGAGTTATAGTTTGTTTCTAACTGTAGCTGCCTTCTTTATGGCTGTTATTCTGCAACCAGCTTATCTTCTCTAGCCTGTTTGTAAGCAATGATATCATTAAAAGCTTTATTGTTGGAGTATATATCTGAATTAAAAAGGCTTTTCTTTAAAAGTAATTGGCTGTTGAATATAATAAGCATATTTGAGCTATGTTGTGTTCTTATTTTTAAGCTTTAAATTATATTGAAGTAAAGTTACAGTAACATACATGCAGTACATGCCACTCTTCATTACTATCACAAAAACCCAATGTTAGTTTTTTCTAGTCAGGATGACAAATTTATATAGAACCATAGAACTTGGCTGCAGGTTATACTGTACTATGGCCCCAGATGTCTTTAACCCGAGGAGTATAATTGGGAGGGGAGATGAATATAATTTGGATGGGGAACTTGGGTACAATTGTGTAGAATGTGAGAAATGAGCCTCAGGCAGTTAGGTCAGTTTTAGTAACTTACGGACACACACACAGACATCCTTCTGCATTACCAATAAATTTCTCTCTGACCACGTATTTAGCATCATTATTCTTGCATTACTTTTTCCTTTTATTATTACATTCATTTGTGTGTCAGTATGTGAATGATGTGTTCTAGTGTCATGTACACCCTGGTGGTGGTTGCAGAATCTCATCCTAAATATTCAGTCATCATAATCGTGTGGCACCTTTCATACTGATTCCCTCACATGTGTATTGTTCCCTATCTCTCCATCCGACTGCATTTTTTGGTCAACACTGCATCTGATCGGTCTCGCTGATGTTAAAATTTCATTGTTTGGTGAACAGCTATATGTTTATGACTGATATGTTAAAATGTGTTTGTTCAGTGTATAATATATGGCCAAAGATCCCCCACTAGTCCTCATGGTTGTAGTCTTTCTGGGTTCAAAAGATGACACAGGCTCTCTCTCACCCTCACCCCAGACTGTACTGTATTGACAACGTGTTGAATTATCCCTATCCCATTCACATGCTTTAGTAGCTCCATTTATAACATATTATTGCCACTATACTGTACATGCATATACCAGTTTAAAAAGCTCCAGTAATACACAATGTTGTTTATGCATGTGTGTATGCCAGTGTAACTGTGCAGTAAAGCAGGGATTAGAAGTGTGTTGTAACGTATGCTTGTTGTAGGACATGGCTCTTGATTTGCAGGTTTGCCGGAAGTTGAATGATTTTGTACTGGATATATTGAATGTGTGTGAGCACTGGGCAAAAAAAGTCTTACCTCAGCATATGATCAAGTGATTGTGTAACAATTATACGTAATTGAATTTTTTATTTTTTGGTACAGTACGAGTGCTGTAATTGATTGTTATTGTTTATAAGTACAGTAGAGTACTGTATATAATACACATTAGTGATTTTGGGGGAATATGAATTTGATTTATTTTTTTGCTGTTGAAATATTTCAAAACTTTTTTTTTTTTTTTTCAATTTTTTTATTCTTTACATTTATGTGATAGATAGTGTATCTGTATATATTTTTTTCAAATTACACAAAGAAATGTTTTGAAACAAATTCTTTGTCAAGTGCAGGGATGCCCAGACTATGAAATTGTTCCATGAACTACTGTGCTTCTCTGTGGTCCCTGTGTGCAGGTCCTGCCTCGCCCCATGGTACTCTACTGTATATATGCCTGGCAGATACAGTATTTATTTTCACAATAATTTTTCGTAGTTCTTTTTTATTTAGTGTAGAGTGCAGAATTGGTGTCCCTTTTGATACCAAACAAACAAGTAAGATTTTTTTACGTTTTATTAGAGTTACACTGCTGAAAATTCTTGACCATTTAATTAAATTGTGATTACTTTACTAATGTGCAAGTAACCATGATGCAGTGTGTTGTATGATTATATTGTGTGATAATTATTTATAGTTATGATTGTTGTCACTAGAGTATTTCTGTTTCTCACCAGATCACCTGCAGGGAACAACCTTATTGTGTAAATGCAGTACTTACGCCTGTTATTGGTGTAGTGTTCATGAAATGTAACTGATTCACGTGTGTGGTAATGCTAGTTATGTTTCTTTATCTACCATGTAGGGGTTGTAGGTCAAATGGACCCCAACTTAACCTAGCCAGTAGAATTTGGGCTGTTGACCCAAACAGGCTCTCACTACACTGCAGCAACACTCATATACATACATCTTAACATTACTTTTGTATACAGCTACATGTACAATATATATCTTACTCTCATAATCCCACAGTTTGAATGTTAGTTATCTTGTTCTTCTCCTCTCACCATACTTGTACCTGGTACTTGTGTCCAGGTGACAACACACTTCAGAATCATGTCTTTACTCCTCTCACCAACTTTGATCATAGATTCTTCATTCCTTAAAATTCCTTGTTTTGCTTCAGTTCTGCTGATCTAATCGCCAACTTGATGAACAATGTACAGTATATCTGAATGATACATTGTAGGATTATCCTCGTAATGTGTATTTCTGATAGCCATCATAGTCAGGGAGGGGATATATCAATGGTCCCATTATGTCTATAGTGTGAAGTGTGTTGGATGAGGTCCAGTTCTCAGTCATTGCAGTTTGTTTATTCATCAGACTTCACATGAATTACAGCACTGTACCACATCATACAATATATTGACCTGATAAACTTTTAATTTAATATCTACTGTATATTTCTGTTTATGTTTTAAACTCTTGTCTATGTTTTTAGAGTTATGAGATCTGAAACTTGACTTCAAGTTTCACCCTGAGTGGCCATGAGCAAGTCACTATGACGTACACACCCGAGTGAGTCCAGTCAGGTTTTATGTTTTGGTTTGTATCTCAGAATGTTTAACGTTTAAGACTGGTGGCTGGTTTGTGCTGTACCATACTTTCCCCGGCCAAAGGAAGAAATAACAGACAGGTGTGACCTCCCATTTGATTGTATGTTGGGACATACATTATATGCCCCCAGAGTTAAAGGTGTTAATTAGGATACTACATACACGCATCTTTATTTCCAGACTCTTGTAAAAATTATATATATATACATATATATATATATATGCAAGTAAATCACTGTGGGTGCGCTTGATCCAGGTATATGCTGATAACTACAAGGAAAGAAGAAATTACACGAAAGCGTTTGAGGACTTCGTGTTTTCTTCTTTCTTTGTGGTTATCAGCACATATATATATATATATATATATATATATATATATATATATATATATATATATATATATATATATATATATATATATATATATATATATATATATATATATATATATATATAACTTACGTTATGCAGTATGCTTAAATGAAATGATTTTGCTTTAAAGTTTATTTCTTATTAAACATTGTTCTTATTTCAAACTTCATACATAACATGTGTACTATATTAATATTAAGTCCAGCATTGCACCAAAAACCAAACCCATAACTAGTCTATATAGTAGTAACAGTAAGTGTTGTATTTAAGTTGCTTTCTTGGCTACTGTTCTCTGCCTCAAAGACTTAACATAACAACACTGTGTGCAGTTCCTAAGACATTACAGCCAGTACAATCATGACACTCGGTATTTGAACTTAGAACGGCCCCTTGGTATTGTCTTGTTTTCTGTCTACCAAGAGACGGTCATTTATTTATTTCTACTAGTTTCATTCACATGTATCACGTTGCCATATATCATACAGTTAATGCATTAAAGGAACCTATGTATGAGATTTTGAAGAAAAATTAATCTTATCATAATTTCTCACTTTATCCTACCTTGAATTTCTCCTTGTGATTGCTTTTACTTGTCTCCCTTGAAGCATCTTAATGATTTATCTGCCAGTATTTTGTGCCACCTCAGCACTTTATCTCATTATGTTCATATGATCACAGAAGCCTTCATCATAGTATGAGGAGTGAGAAGGTTTTAATTGTGGAACAAATCTCTTATTAATTGTATAAAAGTGGATTAGTCATATTTGTTATTCTATAAGATGTAAGTTGGTCAATGTTAGAAATATACCAGAAACAAGACTATTGTAGTACATATATTTTTTTCTCACCAATCAGTCTTAACCTAACCTCATGATCCTCAGGTATTGCTGGTAAGGTTATGTTGGTTTGTGCTGCCTGAAATACAGGTGATCTCACTTCCCTGTCTCTGGTAAATGTTTTATCATTGATCACTTTACCGGAAATACAGTACCATACAGTATAGTACAAGTATTGTACATTTGATTTTTTTTTTTGAAGATGGGTAATTATTTTTCAAGGCTTATATGTTATAAATATTTTTTTGCAATTTGAATATAAATGTGAGTTGGTTTTTTTTTGATTATTTAATAATTTGATGCATAGATGTGCAGGTATAAAGATATGTTAATTATATCAAAGTGTATGTAATATTGATTGATGAAATTGATACGTATTCCTCTTTTTGCAAATTATTTACTGGTTGTTGTGGAGCCAAAGTATTATACATTCCCTGGTCTATAAAGCTTTCATAGGTGGTACTGAATATTTTTTGTAATAATGCATACAGTATATTTATAGAGATTATGGATGTATTGATTGCTCTCTCACCCCAGGTAAATTACATTACGTATTGTATATGTATTTCAACAGGTGGAACTTTACAATGGGTGCTGTCTGACTGATTTAGTATTCATAAGGTGAGCCACAATTTGGTGCGAGTCCTTCCACACATTAAAGACATGAGAGCCATTGTTTTATGTTCAAGGGAAATCCATGTACAATATGTCTCATTCTCATTAAAATGTTTTAATACTAATTACTGTCTCTTACTTATACACAAGAATGGAGGAAACTGCAGTGGGCCTATTGGCCCATACTGGGCAGTCCCATTTACACCCAACCCCTATTGCTCATATATCCATCCAACCTATGTTTGAAGCTATCCAGCGTGTTCGAGTTAATGATGATGTTTGGTAACTTGTTCCATTCATCCACTATTCTGTTTCCAAACCAGTGTTTACCTATTTCGCGCCTAAATCTAAATTTTTCTAATTTAAAATCATTGTTACGAGTTCGCTCCTGGTTGGATAGTTTGAGTATCTTTGTAATGTCCCATATGTTTAGCTCTGACTTCCATTTATACACCTCTATCATATAGCCCCTCACTCCGTCTTTCATGGGAGTGCAAATTAAGATGCTTTAACCTGTCTCTGTACTCAAGGTTCCTAATGCCCGGGATTAGTATTGTCATTCTTCTCTGAATTCTTTCTAGGAATTCTATATCCATTCTGTAATACGGTGACTAGAATTGAACTGCGTAATCCAGAAACCTTAAATTCATAGATTATGAAAGTTTGTGTGATTATATTTCCTGCCTCAAATCTTATTTTTGATGGCTTATTCTACCTGAAGATTAGCACTTCCAGCTTAGTTCACCTGAATATTAACACCCCCAGAGTATTTGACCTGAGGATTAACACCCCCAGCTTACTTTACCTGAAGATTAACACCGCCAGCTTATTTCACCCGAAGATTATCAACCCCTGCTTATTTCACCATTAGATTAACACCCCAGCTTATTTCATCTGAAGATTAACACCCCTAGCTTATTTAACCACATGATTAAACGAATCCAGGTAAAAAAGTCACAGGTAAAAAAGTCACAGAAAAAAAGTCACAGGAAAAAAGTCACAGGAAAGAAAGAAAAGTTAACTATCGAATTCTCACATTTTTTAAGGTTAATGTCAACCTAACCTAACCTAATTAATTGTGACTTTTTTTCCTAGCCAAAATTGTGACTTTTTTTTCCGTGACTTTATTACCGGCCACCGATTAAACAACCTCACACTACCTGGAGATTAGGTTAGATTAACATCGATGTGGTTAATCTCGAAGGGTTAAATATATGCTCAAAGGGTTAAATCATCTTATTCAGAGGACAAGGGGGATACCTCTGCAGTCAGTGAGTTATATAATCGTACTCGAGATGTTCAGTTGTTAACTCATTTCGCTCAGTGGTTAAAAGTGTATTATAATAATTAAGTCATCAAATTATAGCCAAGTGTTGGGCCGTTGATGCTATATGTAATTACTATGGTTCGACAACTAAGGTCTTTAAGCGTGTAATTAGGTTAGTAATTACACCAGTCTATCAACAATTAAAAAAAATTACAAGAGAAATTGTACTCAATGGATACAGCAAATATCGACGAGTGTTCATAATAATAGTTTCCAAACTATATAAATGCTCGTAGTGTTTCTTTGAACATTGCCGGCATTACAGATTAATACATGGTTATTTTGGCATACAACTGGAAAGTAATTATTTTAGTTATTGACTTTTTGACAAAGAGAAATATCATGATTAACCGCGTCTTCCAATTACAGAGAAAATAAGTGAAATTTTGAGGCATATATTTCATTGGGTAAATCTTCGCGTATGAGATTATGTTGGAGATGGGTATAACGTGACGTCAGAGGTTAGGCTGTGCTGTTGTGGCTGGAGCCTGTGGTGGTGTGGTGTGGTGACCATGGCGGTTCCTATTATAGCGTCATCATCATCGATCCACCACGGGGTCAAGACTTCTTCCTGCAAGATTATAACGCTCGCCCCAGCTCCCTCTCCCTCCCAGCCCACGCCCGTCTTCCATCACGGTATGATGGCTGGTCTGTTGAAAATATATCCACAGTATTAGTTGTAGCTGTCAACATGCGGGCCAGAGCCTCAAACACTCGTATATATTTAACTTTAGTCTTTGGATCACTTGAGTCTTGAGAGAGATTCTTCGGGTGAGGTCAAGACAAATAGGCATGAACTGTGTGACCTTGAGCTGACACACACTTGGATGACCCTGATTTGAGGTTAGGCCAGGTCAGGTGGATACTGGGGGAGGGGAAGACTTCAGTTTTGACGTCTTGTTGGCCGCCATCTTGTGTAGTTAAGCGTTAGGGTGGTTATCTATAGGTGCAATAAGTTGGGGTGGATCTTCTTCAGGTGATCCGCTCTCTTGAATATCCATCTATATATCTGTCCGTCTCACGTTGACAGTTACAAAGAAATGTTAACGAAGGTGTTTTTGATAATTCACACCCTGAGTGTTTGTGTTGAGTCCCTTAATGTTTGTGTTGACAGTCCCTTAATGTTTGTGCTTACAGAAAACATTTGGTATTTCTGATGACAGTCTCTTGTGTTTGCGACTTTTATTAAATGTTATTTATTTATGAATATTATATACTGTATTATTATAATTGGTGTAAGTAATGGTAGTAGTAGTAATAGTGGTGTTAGTAGTTTGTTATAATACTAACTAGAAAGGTAGTAGGCAGCTACCAAACAGGGAGGTACTACCGCCTGGGAAGACATTGGAAGCATAATGTGTTGTCTAATGGTAGACCCTGCTGCCATATGGTATCACGAAAATAGTGACCAAGTTCCAGGTTGATGATCTGACTTTCTGCCTCATTTACACACAATTGCAGCGTCTCAATTGTTTCTCTTACCATTGACAACACAACATACATATATTGTTTCTCACTTTTGATCTTTTTTTTATTTCTTTATGGTTCTTTATTATTATTATTATTATTATTGCAATGTTGTTATTATTATTATCATTATTATTTAAAACAATTCTGATTGTAAAATTTATTTAATATGCATTATTATTATTATTATTATTATTATTATTATTACAACATTTTCGCCCCTTAGGGCCGATGTGGGTCAGTGACCTGTGCCCAGGTGGGCTAATCCCTGTAAAAAATAATAATAATAATAAAAACGGTGGTAGTTGTAATACTTGCAGTAGTAGCAGAGGTGGTGGTAGCGGCCACAACGCTTCAGCCTGTCAAGAAATAAGAAAATTAATTATAGTCACAACAATGGTTTATTGACCGGGGGTGACGAGGGCTGTGTGTGTCGGGAAACATTTGCGTTTGTTTATTAGGTAACTTCTAATGTCAAAACTGTGTCCACACACACACACGACCTTGGCCTCTGACTTTGCGTGACCTGACCATCACAAAAGACTTTACATAATTCTAAATCTCGTGTTTCACAAACTTTTATTTTTAAAGACTCTCCATCCACCTTATTCATGTCCCTGAGTGGCATCAGTCGCCGTGACATCATATCTTTTGCACCAATCATAGCGTCGCGGTCAGTATGTT